ATAACCTATCCTAGGTATAAGTTGGCATCCTTCAATAAATATGACATGGAAATATAATTTTCAGTTCTGTTAGATCCCCAAGCATGAGAATAGATCCACGTTCAAAAGTAAAGCAAGATTTATTTCAAAGACATGGTTGATCACGAACACACAGGAATTGATTGGAATGACGTTGGAGCGAATGGAAAACTAGTGAAGGAGAATTGTTGAAACTCTATTTCAGTGAGTATGTGTGTACTGACAACTGGGGATAACAGTTAATATGTTGTAATATAGTAAATATGACGTGGAAATATAATTTTCAATTCACAGCTAAAGAGTACCAGCTATCTGAAGAAGCGTAATGTGAATGCGGCAGTGAAGCCAGCCGTGTATAGCTGTACTCACATATGATGTGGAACTATTGCACTCCTGAAGTTTTTTATACAAAGGAATTGTGGACTCTAATTGTATTCTCCCTTTGTATCAAGTACTTTTTGTTCCTAGCTCTGTATAAATATATATATAAGGGTTCTTTAACAAAGATTTCAAAATGTTTGAATTGTTTCATACAATATAATTTTTCTGCTTATGTTCGTAATTCATTCACGGAGTGTCTTTATATTTATACAATCTCCTCCCGTGAGCTCTCATTTTTTATATACAACCACCTGAAGGTTAGCAACTCTAAATTAAGATGAGTAGTTGCCCGTGGCAAAATGAGGTCCCATGAAAATGCTAAGTTGTCATAATGTAGAAAAAAAGGAGAGAGAGACTGGTAATTGCACTAGCAAAGGGACGCTTGATGAGTAAATGGAACCACAGCAGGTCATCTGACTTTATTTTGATACCGCTTTCATCTCATACTACACAGTCCTGGTCTGGTTAAGAGAAGATGAAGCCAGTACTTACAGCTTAGTGAGCTTGGTGTTTATCCAGAAGATATCTCTGTAGTAAAACAACAACTGCAAAGTGCAAGAATATCTGTAGCCAAGGATGAGAGAACTGTGTGGTGGAACACTTTGGGCTTTCCCATGTTCTCTTTTTCCTTGCTTGCAATTCCTGTTTCTTCAGGATTCCCCCCCCCCCGTCCCTCAATGTTGTGCTCCTTCTAGCAGTTGATTTGTTATTACATCACTTTATGTCCAGCATAAAAACCTACAGTTGAAATCTGCAGGGAGATATGCCGGTGTCAGGTCCCACCGCAATTCAACGGAGTACACACTTATAGAAAGGTATTACTTTATTGAAGCCATGAGTCACTGCACAGAAGAAATGTTCAGAATAACCCTAAGGACTTGGGTTGGAAAGGTTAAAGCAATTTCGTAATCAATGCGGCCAATGGCTATAATTCCCGCCCGCGCCTAAAAACCCCTGGGAACTCAACGGTAACTGTGATATCGTTCCCTAACACTTCCCATGGTTTCTACTCATTAAAACAAAGCAAAGCAGAGCCGTCCACAACTCTTAACCACCTGTGACCTTGGAAATGATAACGTTACAGCAGACAGGCCTGGCGTACACTAACAAGAATGCAGCTATGAATATATGCGCATGGTTATATGAACGGACCTCTGGGGGGGGGGGAATACAGAACAAGGTACATAGCCATACACAGGTACTCAGGAGCCTATAGGAACATAAAGAACATTTGGCAGCTTGCTGACAGCCGGACATAAGCCAATGTAATGTTGAATTTACTGCTAGAGGGAGCCAAACATGCGAGGAACAGACCACTCCCCCCCAAGAAACAGGAATTATAAGCAGGAAAATGAGAATGCAGAAAAGCCCGTCTTGTGGGAACATTATCTCAGAAAACACATTACTTTTAAAGATCTGTCCTCCCTGCCCTCCACAGCCAACACATCTAACAGGAGTTAACAAGGACAATATGTCTCCATCATCACAACTTCGGTTAAAAAGAAGACCATGTACATGCACAGCTGTATGAGCCAACTCTGAACATGCTCCCCAAATAGATGCCATACACAAAACATGGTGTGGGAAGCAGCAGGTGTGTGCACTACAGAATGGAAAGCTCCCCCCCCCCCGCCTTGAATATGCTTCTTAGGAGGAACAACGGATGACGTAAGGAGTGAGAACCTGACGCCCCTGCGAAGGTAATAGAGAGAAGGGGCAGGTGTGAGGGGCCAAGACACTGCTCATCTGGATCTACAAAATATGCGTGGAGGGGAGGGGGAGGGGGAGGAGGAGGAGGAGGAGAATAAGGGAGGGAACCCATAATGGGACCACAAGAACTGGGTCAAACCAGGAACAGTTGAGAAGCGAAGGCTACTGGATTGATTTAAGAAGGAAAGCTGAAGAGAAGGCAGTTTAAAAATCCCACCGGTTTATTTATTTAGACATTTCTTTCTCACAACTCTCAGGGGTTCACAAAGCAGCTTCCAATAAACATACATTTAAAAATAATAACCGTTATAAAAAAAGTCTGATTTAACTAACACAACAATAAAGGTTTAAAAAACAGTTATGCTGTCATAAATAGAATGAAGTCAGCAGTATAAATAATGAACAAAATCATGGAGCGGGGAGGACAGGACAGGACTCAATTAAAAATCTTGGGGAAAGGGTAGGGTTGCCAAGTCTGAGTTGGAAAACACCTGGAGACTTTGGGGGTGGAGCCTGGGAGAGGGTGGGGTTTGGGGAGGGGAGGGGAGGGGGCCTCAGCACGGCGCAAGGCCACAGAGGGAGCCCACCCTCCAGAGCAGCCGTTCTCTCCTTCGGGGGAGCTGGCCTCTCTGTCCGCTGGGGATGAGAGGTAAAAGCGGGAGATCCCCAGGCCCCACCTGGAGGCTGGCAACCATAGGAAATGGTTAATTTCACCCAGGGGCTAATGCTAGGTAGACGGAGAGCCAGGTGAACCTCTGAGGAAAGAATTCTGAAGCTGAAGCATCCCAAGTGAAGGTCCTCTCTCTGGTAGCCGCCAACAGTCATCTGAAGGTGGGGCACACTTAGCAGGCCTTAACCGGTGCGCCGATATATGTAAATGTGGTGGGAAATGCCGTCAAGTCATAGTCAACAACCCTGTAGGGTTTCCAAGGCAAGAGACGGCCAGAGGTGATTTGGCATGGCCTGCCTCTGCATAGCAACCTTGGCCTTCCTTGGCAGTTTCCCATCCAAGCACTAACCCTAACTCTACTTAGCTTCTGAGATCTGATGCAATTGGACTAGCTTGGCCCAGTATGTAGATCGCTCTCTAAATTTCCAGCACTTTGAACTGAATCCAGATGTGCCAGGTCATATTCCAGGAAAGATAACAACATTTTCTTAATCTGTTGTCGAAGGCTCTCACGGCCGGAGTTCATGAGTTGCTGTAGATCTTCCGGGCTGTGTGGCCGTGGTCTTGGCATTGTAGAGCCTGACTCCACACAGAAATTTTAAAGCACTGACATTTTAAATTCTTGATTAAATTCAGTTGAGGGATTGGGGGAGGGCAAATTTAAAAGCTGCCACCAGTCATGCAAACAGAACACCTGCAACATGGTTACTGAATTAAAACTGACCTCTGAGGCTCCTGATAATCTGAAAGCAAAAGTGCAAAACTGAAAGTTTCCTTTTTTCAGAAGGTGTAAATGTGGGACAGGACGAGAAAAGTAACATTGTCACATTCTCAGAAATGACAGATCATCCTTCTCGTCACACCTCAACTGCTGCACAATCTGCACAGCGGACCTGACACCTCTGCTTGTTCAACATGGGCAGCTCCTTATGTCACAACACCACATCCTGAAGCGCCCAAAGGAGTGTGACCCTGACCTGGCTGGCCCCGGCTGGCCCCATCTCGTCAGACCTCCAGAGCTAAGCAGGGCTGGAGACCACCCAGGAAGCCCAGGGTTGCTACGCAGAGGCAGGCAGTGGCCAAACCCACCTCTGAACATCTCCCTTGCCTTGAAAACCTCATCAGCTGGCTGCTACTCGAGGGCACTTTCCACCCCTGCCAAGTGAGGAGGGGGGGTTGTTTTTGCTTGCACCCTTCTTAGAAGAGAGGCACAGGGCATGCTGGGTAATTAGTAAGGGCAGCATTCTTGGCCAGTCAGGTGGTGGCTTTTTGTGCCCACATAAGGGTAGCTCCACCTTTGCAGCTGGGCTTTTGTTCAGTGCTGTCCTCTGATGAACTGACCATACACAATTAGCTGGCCACTTCGGGGCTGAGCAGGGATTTGGGGGCCGTGGTTCCCTGAGACTGGTCCAATGGGACCCCTTTTTTCATCACATCATAGTTAGTCTTGGATAGGGGTGAGGTTAAGTAGCTTAAACTGGCCTGGTTCCAGGAGGAGAGAGCCCTTAATTAGGTCGGTGGAAACATGTGGGTTAACTGGAGAGAGGCAGAAAAACTTGGCAAGTCCCTATTGATGGAGGGAGCCCAGCCAAGCCAGCCATTTACCAGCTGTACAGACGAGGGGGCAGAAGAACGGGTGCTGGGTGGGCAGCATTCCGCTGGGCCCCGCCTGCTCGCGTGGCCTGGGGGTGGTGGGGGTGCTGGTGAGGCGCATCAGTGGCTCTTGGGACAGTTCCGCACGCACAATGAAGGGAAACAAGGCGGGCCAGTGTCAGATGCCTCGAGTTTGGAGCCAGGGTGGAGAGGTCCTTAAGCAGCCTTTGGGGGGCCGCTTTTGGCAGGCCCTGAGCACGTTTGGGCCTCAGAAGTAAAACAGGTATTATTATTTTGTCACAGATCAGCTTTAATAAAACCTAGTTCAACCCATATATCTGTGTCTTAAGTCTTTATTCTGGGGTGTGCGGGTGCTGTCTGGAAGCAAAATCTTTACGGAGCTTGTGGAGTTTACTGTGCATGGCAAATCGTGCATCATGGGAAGTAGTTTGGCCAGTTTCAGGGTGTGAAGATGCATCTCAGGTCTGCTTTGACAGCTTCTGCATCAGACGTTGTCCTTGGGGGGGGGGGTCCCCCACTGGGCTTCCTCTGGAAGTAAGCCAATACCAGTCTAGCTTATCCTACATTCATGTGTCTCAGAATTTCCACATCATCTGTGTGTTAATTTCTAAAGCATATATAAGCCAAAGAAGGTTTTTGATTCCTCGTAATTCACCAGGGAGAACTGAGAGACGTTCACATACAGGCTGTCCTGTCTGGAAAGGTTGAACAAGGCGCCCAGATAGCTGCTGCGACTCCACATGCGCATGCTTGTGCAGTAGTTCATTTTCCTGTCCTCCATCAGCACCTGGGAACCAGAGTAAACCGGGTTCCGTTTGAAAACCACGTGGTCAAGAGGCTGGAAGCTGCAGTGCTGACAGGAAGAGCACTTTCGAGTAGACAAAGTAGAGGCCGGGTTCGTCAATCACCAGGCCCTTGTCTTCGTATCGGACGCCAGAGAGGAAAGCATGTCCATAGGTACTGTCCCATTCTAGTGGCAGAGACTTCTGGCTGGTTTCACCTAGAAAGATTAGACATCACTGTGAAAATAACCTGACCCAAGTGAGCTTTGATTCATGAAAGCTAATACACAGTGGAAAATTTTGTTGGTCTTTAAGAGGCTACTGCACTCCAATTGTGTTCCAGTACTCCAGGACTGACACAACTATCTGCCTGAATGTGGGGAAATAAAATTCAAACCCTAACCCTATTTCAAGAGGTCTGAATATTTCCAGGGCAACAGATCTTTTTAAATCTAATCTGTGAAATACCAAAGGTTGCAAATATTATTTTCTGGTTCCTTCTTGGCAGTGAGCATACCCAGATGGCTGCTGCTGAACAGAGAACCTTAACCATGTAAGATCCACCCTGCAGGATCAGATCAGTTGTCCGTTTGGCCCAGCAGCCACGCAGTGTCCAACCAGTAGCTCTGGAGGACCAACAGGCCACAGAGGACAAGGCATCCCCTTGACGCTGCCTCCCAGAACTGGCATTCAGAGGCTGACTGCCTCTTGATGTGGAGGTACCCCCCCCCTTTGCTCACTATGGCTAATAGCCATTGTTGAACTTTTCCTCCTCCACAAACCCATCCAGTTTCCTCTTAGCCACCTGTGGTAATAGCTATCACAATGTCCAATGGCAGTAAATCCCACAATCTAATTACTCACTAAGTGAAGAAGTATTTCCTTCTGTCTGTCCTGAACCTATAGCCCTTCAACTTTTTGGGGTGCCCCGAGGTCTAGATTTATGGAAGGGGTGGGGGGAAATCCACTTTCTCCATCCTGTGCATGGTTTTATAAATCTCGGATCATGTCCCTCCCTTAGCCATCTTTTTTCTAACACTGAGAAGTCCCAGACTCTTCAGCCTTTCCTTAACCGTGAAGAGAATGAGGTCCCTCCGAAAACAAGGTTCAGGGTTCATGTCTGTAGGACTCAGGCCAACATGCCCGGCATGGATGCTAGAGTCTTTTAATGAGGTAGTCTTTTAACGCTAGCTTCCAGCTTTGGGTCGGGAAATTCCACAGGTGCCTTCTGAGGGAGTGGATCCACAGCTGCGGGGGAGTGGTGTATGTGAGTGGTAAAGGTAAAGGTAAGGGTTCCCTTGCTTGAAAGCCAGTCGAATCCGACTCTAGGGTTGCGGTGCTCATCTCTGTTTCAAACCGAAGAGCCAGCGCTGTCCAAAGACGTTTCCGTGGTCATGTGGCCGGCATGACTAAACACCGAGGCGCACGGAACGCTGTTACCTTCCCACCGAAGTGGTCCCTATTTATCTACTTGCAATCTCTTGCTTTCGAACTGCTAGGTTGGCAGGAGCTGGAACTAGAGACGGGAGCTCACTCCATCATGCGGCACACTCGGGTCTCGAACTGCTGAACTTCCACAGCCTGCAGTTCAGTGTCTTAACCACTTGAGCCACCACAGCTCCTAATGTGAGTGGAGGTGGTTACAAAAGTCCTCAGGCCATGATTTGTCAAAAGGCCTCACAAGCCAGGCAGCCCACCTGACTCAGTTTTGCTCTCATCTAGCACAATTTGGAGGCTGCTTCAGCCACAGCTAGAAACCTCTCTAGAAACCCACACTGCTTCATCTTAAAGCGTGACTCGAAACCAAAGCAAGTGGCTGTCCTACAGCAACAGAGCACGTGCCACGTTTTCCTGTGAAGCAAAGTGTAAAAAGTGAGAGATTCTGGATTACTAGAGGCTTTTTTGTTCTAAGGGATTACTGAATTCTCTTCCTCCACAGTGTGCATTTGTCCCCTTTCCCAGAAGCCCATGTTGGCTTTCCAAACCCTTGCATGGACCCAGCAAGAAGACGACAGCAGAGGAACAGCAGGTAAGTGGGCAGGGAGAGAATGGGGCACTCATTACCCACCTGCCGTTGCTCCCTCCCTTCCTGCCATGTGTCCAGCAGAAATAGCAAAGCGACTAGTTTGACTAACCCAAGCAAGTCAACACAATATCCCCCCCCCCGGTCCCTACTCTTTTTCATGCCATCACTGACCCCAGGATGACTTGGGGTCCCCTCTGCTACACACCTGTTAAGTGTGCTCTCCTCTTGACCATCTTGTCTGTTGTTCTGTTCAGGAAACCTACATCGTAGCAGAGAAAGGGTGGTGTCATTAGAGAGAACCCTGTTAACACATTCCAAGCTAACTCTGCCAGGAATCGGACTATAGAACTTTCTGAAATCCCCTGTAGGAGAAAGGTGGGTTAAAAATGGTGGTGGAAATGAATGGGAAGCATAAAGAGGAAACATGAATGACCCTGCTTTGGGGTGGATCCTAAATATTCTTGACAGGCACCTGTCAGTTGCAGTTTTTTACTTGGCCATCACATATCCTTGTCTTATGTACCCTTATGAAAACGTTGTCCTGACTTGTCAGATCACAGAGGCTAAGCAGGGTCAGTCCTGGTTAGTGCTGTGATGGGAGACCACCAAGGAAGTTCAGGGTTGCAACGCAGAGGCAGCCAGTGGCAAAAAACTACCTCCCGTTCATCTCTTGCTCTCAAAACTCCACCAGGAGTCACCATGTTGGCTGCGACTTGATGACCACCACCATGAAAAGGTGTGATTATGTCACAAGTGAGGGGCAGAAACACAGAATTATACGCTCTCTTGTTAAGGGGAATAATTTACAGGATCATCATTCGGTCAATGAATCATAAAGGTGGAAGAATGCAAAAAGACTCACATGGACAAATATTAGATCTGCAAGTGGAGCTGGAAACAGAGACAACCATCTTTCCACAGTGAAGACTCAAAAAGGGGTGCCAGCAAAGGCCCAGACACACCCTCCCCGCCTCCTCCTGTCTCCTCTCTAAGGTTGCCAGCTCTGGATTGGGCCCTGAGGAGGGCAGAATTTGGGGATGGACCTCAGCAGGATATAATGCTATGGAGTCCTCCCAGACATTTTCTTCAGAAAAACTGAGCTTTGCAGTTGTGATTCCAATAGATCTCCAGGAATAGATCTCCTGGATGTTGGCAACCCTACTCCTCCCCACACCCAACTCTTGTTCAGAAAGCCCCACTGGGCATGTGCAGCTTCCTGTGGTGTGTTTAAAGACCCCTCGAGGAGAGAGGGGTGAAGGGATGCTGGTTGCTCTGGATCCAGGGAAGTGACCGGGAGGCATGGTTGGGCCAGGGCACTGGGGCAGAAGGCTAGCGGCCTCAGCTGACCCCTTTCCCACATTTGTCACCTGAGATCACTGCCTCACCTGGCCTTGCCAGGCCTCCCTCTACCCAGGAGTTGTAGCTTTGATAAAAGCCACGTAGCCGCGATTTCCAGTGTAGCGCACACACATTTTCAGTGGGCTGCTCTCATCTTTGGCTCATCCGGGCTTTGTCAGTTTGTAAATCAGAGACACAGCTACAAAAGACATGAGCAGGTGAGAGCAGGATGAAGGTCTGCCCTTGCCCTTCCTTGTATGGCTGAAACACTAGTTGGAAAAAAGAGGTATGCGCTAACTGTTCACACTCTGCCCAGGGTGGTAGTATCTGCATTAGCAATGAAAGAACTGGAGGGGAAAACTATGCTCAGCTCTGGGGGGGAAAATCCGTAGGTGTGAACCAGGCAAATCTATAGGTCACATTGGTGTCAATGGGGAGTTAGATGTGAAGTATCTTTGTAGGATTGCTCTCTGGGTTTTCTTTAGTTGTTGGTGATACAGTATTTTTGGATGTGAAATCCTTGTACCCTTCATTTCTGTAAGCAGCCCAGTCCTACAGAGACAATACTAGTTTCCTCCCAGTGGCTATCTAAGACTGATCTAGCACAGCATCTTAACGTTTGGATCTTGCATTCTCCTTCTTTCTTCTGGCTTTAGCCCAACAGCAGCCATCTGTTTCATCTCACTAAAAATTATTGGCATCAAAGAATAGGACATCTTCATTCCTGCATTGGTTACAGAACAAAAAATGGGGAGCATTCTTCCCAAGGGAACAGCCCCAAATACTGAGGGTTTTCTGAAGCACGCTCACCCCCCCCCCCAGTTCTTAGCTTGGAGTAGGAAGACTTTCCTCCGCAGGAACCTTCCAAGTGTCCCTCACCCTAAAGTCTGAGAACCTCACAATTAGAATCAAAACCCAATCTGGCTAGATCCACTAATTCCTTCACTACACTACTAATTGGCTGCTAAATTTATTTATTTATTAGATTTATAGCCTACCCTCCTCTGTACAACAGGGCTCAGAGTGGGTAACAACAGTATTAACAAATTTAAACTATTAAAACAACTCTTATCTGACAATGATATGATGGCACATAAAAAGGGAAGCACAAGAGATCATGCCATTAGGGGACCAGGGAAGAACAAACAAGGGGAAAGGAGATGGCAAAGGGTGGGGGGGAAGGGAAGGGAAGCCAAGATGGAAACCATCGTTGTCCTCAACCGTAGGCCTGGAGGAACATCTCCATCTTACAGGCCCTGCCATTTTCAAATGGAAACGCTTTGGTTCAGAAAACCTTTAAAAAAGGAATAGACATTTCAAGATAACATCTGTCAGCCAGGAAAAGAAATGACAGTCTAGCTAACTTTTGGTTGGTAAAGACAAAAACAACTTTTGGTTGGTAAAGACAAAAACAACTTGGTAATGATATCACAAGAGGAAACCCTCCCTGAGCCCTTTCTGCCAAGGTTGCACACAATCTGGGCTTCAATTAAGAGAGATGGAAAGAGAGAAGTGGAAATTAAAAGTGTTATTATTGTTGTTGACTAAGCATTGACTGATAAGGTCTGGTTGTTCCTTTGGGATTTCACTCAATGGATTTCCAGACACTCCAGGATCTTGGTTCTGTTAGTCAGAGGTCAGGACCAGAAGTATGGGAAACATACTATTTCAGAAAATTTAAAAATCCGAAGCAACACATTTGCATTCGGAAGAATTGCAGTACACCCCCTTCCCCAGACGAGAACATCTCACCTTTGAGCATCTCTGGAGGCTGAGGCATATGTCCACTCTGGGAGAGCTGTGGAGGTAATAGACATACATTCATACGTGGGAAAACACAACATAAATCCCATGCCATTTTTAATTAAAGCCCTTGTCTTCAGGAGATGAATATCCAGGAAGGCTCTGGGGGCTCTGGATACTATGCATCCAAAGCACCTCCTACCGGGGGGGGGGGGGGGGGACGGACTTTCCTGTGGCTGTGTTAAGGGAACAGAAGTTACCTCCAACTCCTTCTGCAGATGGAAGATCTGAAACATTGCTAATCCAACCCCTGTGAGGGCCAGGAAGACCAGCAGAAAAACCACGAGGAAACAGAGGCACGTGCCGTCCTTAGAATCCAGTCTCTGCCTTTTCCTCTCTAGCACAGGCCAAGGGGAGGAAGTGTCCCGATGGGTCCTGGGCCCAGCCGCAGTGGGGTACAATCCCAGTGGGACACTGTTGGGGCTCAAAACTGCACTGCTGCTTGTCCAGAAGACCTCAGGATAAGGAGGATCCGGCTGCATGGTGGGAGGAAAACCAACCGGAGGACCGGACTTGAGAGTCTCAAGACACAGCCACTGAGCTCGGCTCAGAGGCTGCGCAAGAGAAGTGTTCCTCCTCTTGTGCTGCATCCCCCACACTGCACCTGCACCCACCGCTATAAAGCATTTCTGGTTGACAGCAGAAAACCTCAAGAGAACTTCCACCCACTGCTCTGATGCACGACAGCCCAGCCTGCACAGAAACAGCGAGGAGCCCCAGCCGGGCTCAAGAGAAGTCTTGCAAATGGAATGGAAAAATGATCCAGACAAGTCCAGGTGGAGCCAAGTGTTATAAACTGAGCAAAGGAGCCAAACCAGAAATTACCTAGACTATCATTTCTTTTCCTGGTTGACAGATGTTATCTTTCTCTCAGCAGAATAACATTTTGTGGTCCCCCCCCCCCCTTAGAGCTTGAAAGTCTCTTTCCTGCTCTATCCACTTAGCCCAGTACTTCTGTCTGGATGCTTTCAAAATATTGTTCAGGAGAGAGTTTAAATGGCTCTTCTAGCCGTTCTCCACACTCCTCATACTCTTCTCCTCTTCCAGTGCCTTCAGTCTCCTGCTTCATCCCTCTGTTCTCTCATCCACTGTGTGGAGCTGCAAGGAACTTCCCATTATTATCTGAATGGCATCCCTAAATGTACTTTTAAAGACCTCTCTAAAGGTGTGTTTTGCCTTTTTCTCTTTAGTCGATAGTCAAATACATTGTCTTATACAGAATGTGACCCTTGGTCTATCAAAGTCAGTATAGTGGCCCTCAGGGGCCTTTGTCCTATTACCGTATCCCTTTTTAACTGGAGATGCCAAGGATTGAACCTAGGACCTTCTATATGCAAAGTAGATGCTCTTATCACTATGCCACAGTTCCTCTCTAAAGTAGAACCATCCTAATGATATGAGTATTGAACTTTTTTCATAGTCACCTATTACAACTCCATGGACTTGATTGCCTAGATGCTTTGTATTTTATACTCTTTTTTGATTAGGTTATCTAACATTTTATATACTATAGAAAAAGAACACTTTTCCCTTTTTGCACCAAGGCTGAAGGGAGACAGTGTTCCCTCTAAGCTGAGTTAGTATGAGCTAGCTCACTGTTTTTTAGCCTCTGGCTCACAGATTTTTGCCTTAGCTCAGGAAGGAGGGCTCCAGAGCAAACTAATTTATGAAGTAGCCAAATCACCTGCTCACAACTTTAATGTCAGCAGCTCACAAAGTAGAATTTTTGCTCACAAGACTCCACAGCTAAGATGGAGCATTGGAGACAATAATGCTTAAAAGATTTGAAAGTGATATGAGAAAGCTGTTGTTTCTCTTGGAACACACCCACTCTGTTTCATTCTTATGGTCACTACTGGCCAAAGACCTTTCATAACATTTGGAAAGGTTTATAGAACCTCACGTGCATGACGCTGCCTGACACTGGATCAGACCCCCCTGGGCCCATCAAGGTCAGTATTGCCTACTCAGAGCGGCAGTGGCTCTCCAGGGTCTCAGGCAGAAGAGGTCTTTCCCATTGCCTGTTACCTGATTCTTTTCCACTGTGGCTTGAACCTGGGACCTTTGGCATGCCAAGCAGATGCTCTGCTAACTGAGCTACCACTCTTCCCCTGTCTGTTTTAGCAGGAGACAAAAATGGGGCGGGTGTACACACCAGGAGCAATAACTCATTTGTTCAACCTGCCTCCAGCACTTTGAAAAAGCCTCTCCTCAAGCCAAGCATGACAGGTGGACACCTTCACAACAAAGGGAATTACCCTGCCACACGCCAACGATGATGCCAACCCTCTCAAGCCAAGCAAGAAGAATGCCTCCCATCTGGAAACACTGATTCATCTGCCCACAGCAGTTTGTGGTCTCGCCTGCATGTTTCAAGGGTTTCATAAGCTCTGGAACAATCTGACCATTGACATTTATTCAGTTGTTCCATACCGCTCTGCTTTGCATCTTCTCTTCACAACCAGAACTTCATGGTACTGTGTAAACTGAAGCAAACACACACACACACACACACAGATGTTCCATCTCACAGGGCACAAATCACCCTTTGAAGCCACCATACCAGGCAAAATACAGCGGACATCACCACCAGCACTGTTCTTAATCAGAAGACCATGAAGATCTCTCTCCCCCCTTCTATAAATGCTCTCTGTTATCACCCTGTCTCTCAACCACCTTCTTTCATTTCTATTGCAGGGCACCAGCAAGGACCTGGGATGGTTCTTAGTCAGCCTTGTGCTACTTCTCCCAGGGGCTCCTAATATTCCTAACTGAAGCCCAGGGAAATGCTTTCCCAGCATGTTGTCTTCCAACTGTGAATCTTCTAGATCCCAGAAGATATGGGACTATACCCCCCAAATGGTGGTAACTGGGTACTGATAGGCTACATGTACAGCCACCCGGTGGAGCAAACAGCATTCCTGTCAGCTAAGGCTGCCATGGTATGGAATGTGTGGGCTGCTCTCCTTGTCTCCCTCCTCCCTTCCCCCTTCTCTCCAGTGTCCTTGAAGGTTTTATTCTGCCTGCTTCTAGCTTCCTGCTGGGAATGTAACCGTTGCTTTTTGCCCACGTCTTCAGGTGCTTGCCTATTGGCTTTACTGTATCAGGGGGTCATGTATGAAGAGGGTATATCTGAAGGTTCAAATCATTAGCTCGCCATTCCTGACACAAGTGTTCATGGTGTCCTGAGTACTAGCTCTCAATGAACTGAAGCTTCTGAAGGAACGTTGTTGAGTGTCTTGACTGGGAAGCCTGACATAGTGTCAGGAATCTATCATTGCCTCTACCTGTATCTCTCCCGAAGATGAGCGGAGAAGAGGAGTCAGCGGTGCAGGCTACTACAGATGTCCCGGTACATCCTACCACCCCACCACTCCAATCACTACCACTCCCCTGGTCACCGTCCCCCTGACATTGGTGCCAGTGTTGGGGGCCTAAGGAGGAGCAGTTCCTCAGCAGTTCAGAGATGTAGTAAAGCCTAAACAATGAGGCATGTTCAAGGCCGAGACCCAGGAGTCGTGGATGCTGACTCCTGCCCCGCAGAGTGGGAGCCGCTACGACTACAGACCTGCACAGGGTCACCCTTGATGGGACCTGGCTGAGGAGGGAGGCTGGGAGGAGCTGCTCACCCAGATTGAGTTGTCCCAGGCCAAGACGACCCGCCTGCTCAAAGAAACCTTGCTGGACATCCCGAGACTGGTGGCCCAGGTGGTGCAAGGAGAGATGCAGTTGCTCCATCCCAAGCCCCCCGCAGTGCCACTGCCATCTCCCCCTCCTGCGATTCCACCACCGGGACCTCCGGAGAAACTGCTCCTGCCCCCAGACCACAGGAGCCCCCTCCAAAGGAACACCAGCCGAAGGAGCTGTTGGAAGTCACTTTCAACAGGACCCCAGAAAAGCTGGCCTTCTTCGTGGTGCAGGTGGAGAAGTTTGTGCAGTACTGGGGCCACTTGTTCCCCTCAGATGAACGGAGAGTGGCTTACATTGCATCCAAACTGAGAGACGGAGTGGCGGACTGGTATGTCAGCCTCCACAACGCCCAGGGGCCGGAGCTGCAAGAGATGGACGTGTTCATGTGGGCCCTCCGAGTGCAATACGAAGACCCAATGGAAGAAATAAAGGCACGCAACCACCTGCGTACCCTGAAGCAAGGGTGGAAGACCGTGCGAGAATACACCAAGGAGCCCAAAAGGTATGTGGCTAAGATCCAGGGGTAGCCTGATGGGGTGTTATCTGAGCAGTATCGGTTGGGGTTGAACCCTGAGCTTTGTGAGACCATCTTACGCAGCATGCACCCAATCTCCCTGATGGCTTGGATGCGGGAGGTGGCAGATGCAGAGAGTCACGTACAAATGATCTGGATCGACAATGAAGCTGCTTACCCGAGAGGTGGGACCCCAGGGCCGAAGCCCAAACTGCCGAAGGCCAAGGAGGAGGTTCGGGAGCAGTGCATGAAGCAGGGGCTCTGCCTCAGATGTGGAGAAGGCGGCCACTAGGCTGCCTCCTACCTGGGGTCTGTGGGGCCTGCTCCGGGGGGGAAAGCACCAGATGCAAGACACCCCAGTGCAGAAGAACACAGCCAAGCAGAAGTTCCAACGAGCTCTCCAAGTCAATATCCCAGAAGGGGATTCGGAGCCCAGCAACAAATATGAAGACGAGCCGGCATGAAACGACCAGGACCTGCTGTAAGTGGTGTGGAGCAGCAGGTCCCACCTCATGTGGCACCGAAGATGGTGAGCAACAACCCCCCCTTCTTTGTGACTGTGACTGTAATGAACCCTGAACTGGGGACCCATGTGTATAGAAAAATTGGTTCCTATAGACCCTGCCTTCCCCTGGAATGTACCCCTGCTGTTCTGATTTCCTCTTGAAGCCAAATGGGCTTCATAGCCTGCCATATAACCACATAGTCTTCACACTTCTAGTGGGGAAAGCCAGACCTGTTGGAGCCTGGCAGCTGCCTAGCAAACAAGCAAACACACATGTACAGAATGGATGGGTTGGGGGGAGATCACATGACTGTAGGTGTGGCCTCCAAGACAACTGACCATTCAGAAGTTGTAGCCATGACAACCCAAAAGTTGGACACACCCAGGTCTACTTCAATTGGCTCCTGGCCAGAGCTGGTTGGAAGACTGAATTGCCCTATATCAGTCTAAACCCATAGAGAGGAGCTCAGATCTTTCTTGCTTTCCTGTTCTGTTGCTGTCATCTGGAATGCTGTCTCTGCCATGTGGCCAGGGACAGAACAAAGGACTCCTTTGTGAGCTGAGCACATGCTTGCAAAGATGGGGTTGCTCTTACGAATCCCTTGGTCTCATTTGGATTGTCTACCATGGACATTATCTGGACTGATGCTACTCTGATGATTGGTAAATATGCTTCTTATTGTGTAGTTAGGCAAAACATTGCTTAGGATGTTCTTTTAAAGTCTTTCTAGTCTGATTGCAAGCCTGTACTGAATAAATCTTATTCTTGTTTA